GCACCCTGCGGAGTTAATATCTTGTACTGCCCCCTTTGGCAAGTATCACAGCTTGTAAACGCTTTTTGTAGCCAGCCAAGAGTCTTTCAATTCTTGTTTGAGGTATCTTTGCCCATTCTTCCTTACAAAAGTCTTCCAGTTCTTTGAGATTTCTGGGCTGTCTGTCACGCACTGCTCTTTTAAGGTCTATCCATAGATTTTCAACTATGTTGAGGTCAGGAGATTGTGAAGGCCATGGCAAAACCTTCAGTTTACGCCTCTTGATGTAGTCCCCCGTGGATTTCGAGGTGTGTTTAGGATCATTATCCATTTGTAGAAGCCATCCTCTCTTTAACTTCAGCTTTTTCACAGATGGCGTCAAGTTACCATCCAAAATTGGCTGAAATTTTATTGAATCCATTTTTCCTTCTACTCGTGAGATGTTCCATGTTGCCACTGGCTGCAACACAACCCCAAAGCATGATTGATCCAACCTCATGCTTAACAGTTGGACAGAGGTTCTTTTCTTTAAATTCTCTGCCCCTTCTTCTCCAAACGTACCTTTGCTCATTCCGGCCAAAAAGTTCAATTTTAACCTCATCGGTCCACAGAACTTGTTTCCAAAATGCATCAGGCTTGTCTATATGTTCATTTGCAAAGTTCAAACGATGATTTTTGTGGTGAGGACGTAGAAGAGGTTTTCTTCTGATGACTCTTCCATGAAGACCATATTTGTACAAGTATCTCTTTATAGTGGAATAGTGTACCACAACTCCAGTGTCTGCCAGATCTTTCTGGAGGGATCGTGCAGTCAAACGTGGGTTTTGAATTGTTTTTCTCACAATCCTGTGAGCTGTTCTGTCTGATATTTTTCTTGGTCTTCCAGATCTTGCTTTAACTTCCACTGTTCCTGAAGACTGCCATTTCTTAATTACATTCCGAACAGAGGATATTGACATCTGAAAATGCTTTGCTATCTTCTTATAGCCTTCTCCAGCTTTGTGAGCGTCAACTATTTTCAGTTTCAGTTTTCTAGACAACTGCTTAGAAGAACCCATGGTGCTGATTGTTGGGGCAAGGTCAGATGAGTCTGGGCATTTAAAACCTTTGAGATTGACATCACCTGGTCTTCCCAGACGATGATTGAGATGAGAACAATCCAAGACACTGGCAGGTCTCAGCTTGGCAAAGGGGGCAGTGCATGCTATAAATTCTGCAGGGTGCCCAAACTTTTGCAGACGCCATTTTTTTGTTTTCTGTTATTTTGAAAGTGTAAATGATGGAAACAAAATCTAACTTTTGTTGACATATTATAAGAATGTCTAATCTGTAATTTGATGCCTTTTGGAGATTTTTCCATCTTTCCTTGGCTTCTTTATGCACATTAATACAAATTTTTATCTGGGGTGCCCAAACTTTCGATCCCCACTGTATATATATATATATATATATATATATATATATACACACACACACACAAATACACACTGCATGTTGAAATGCGTTTTTATTACAAAATATATGAAAAACATTTTTAAAAATAAGTTTCAAAAATACTGCATGTCTTTAAAAATACAAATCTACATTTTTGGAATGCATTTACAAATATATGTAAAAATATATGTTAAAATTACTTTTCCATATGTTAAAACAAAAACTGAAGAATATATTTAAAAAAATATATATATTTAAACATTGGAGTACCTGGAGGAAACCCATGCAGGCACAGGGAGAGCATGCAAACTCCAGGCAGGTGGTGCCATGGTTGGGATACAAACAAATGACCCTAGTACTGCCAGGTGGAAGTGCTAACCATTTAGCCACTGTGCTGCCCCATATCTGAAGATACCACATGGCTACAGAAAACTACCGGAGATTAAACCATCCAAGGCCCATCTACAGCTATCAGTTTTGGGTGGAGTTGGTCTGTCATGCCAGGATAAGGTTGAATTTGTTTGTGCTTTTACTGGTATACGCCTTTTATAAGATGCAGTATGCCAGCTGTAATATACTATCCTACTTTCCCTATGTATGAAATAACGATACGAGAAGTCTATGAATGACACTGCGTGGTACTGCTCACTTTGAGTCTAGGTTCACACCTAAGTGTTTTCCGGTGCGATTTGCATTTTGCAGAAATACCCTACAGTCCATTTAACATGATTTCGCCGGGACACATTCACATCTCCGTGTTTTCACCTAGTGCGTTTTTTGCAGAGGGTCAGGTACTTTTTTAAGCTCAAAGCGCTTTGTTTTTGGTTAATAGACTTTAATGAAGATGCTGCAGAAATACATGATACGGTTTGTGTTTTAATCTGCCCAGTAACAAGTTGAAAAAAAATGCAAAACCAATCCAAAAAAAAAATCAATGATTTTTTTTTTATTTTAAAAATTGGATTTTTTTTATTTAACCTCCCTGGCGGTATGATTATTTCAGATTTTTGGTGCTGAAAGCGGTACCATTTTTTTGCATGGAAATATGTATTTTTTTTATTGTAGGCTGTAATTTTTAGGAAAAACTCACTGAAATCTGTCCGAACAAGAGTCTAGTAAACATCCTGGGTATGATAAAATTTGAAACACAAAATCATAAATTATAATTTAATAAATAATCATAAAAATAATATAAAAATAATAAAAAATTTAATTCAATAATATAATCAAACCAAAAACACTGAAATGTGAAATAGAGCGCCAAGTTCGCACATTGCTGAGCTCAGTCGCAAAATCGTTTTCAGTGTCTGATGACGAATTTCCCCCACGAATCATTATCACTCAATTCTGCAAGTGGTTCTGATTTACTATCGCTGTTCTCTAGCCGGTCTAAACCGCTTTTGACCTAAAGGGACACTTTTTGGACGCCATGGACATTTCTCAGTTTCCAGGCAGAAAGAACAGACAAAATGCAGGCAGGGCGCCGGACAAAGCACTCGGGACAAAATGTATGTGAAATTGGTTGAGACAGCAATGTTTTACTATGTAAAATGTAAACAAAAAAAAAAAAAGACATTTTTTAAAATTTTTAAATTTCCCGACGCCGGCGGCGCCCGTACGTCCCGACGTCACAGGGACAGGACACAGAAGCCGGATGCCGGCATCGGCCGGAGGAGATGGCCGTGGACGCTGCAGGGGACACATCGTGGGAGCGCAGGGTAAGGTAAGTGAAGAACACATGCCGGAGCAGTGCCGCAGGGTAAGCCCGAGTGTAGCTCGGGGTTACCGCTTTTGGTACTAAAATGTTACCCCCCGAGCTACACTCGGGAATACCGCCAGGGAGGTTAAATCAGATTTTTTTTATTTTTATCAAATTTATTTTAATAAAATGCTTTTTGAGTAAAAATCTATCTAAAAAAGTTTTCTATTTAAAATACAATAATAATAATTTAGATTACCATTATTATTATTATTATTATTATTATATGAAAGCATAGTTATGTAGCATGAGGCGGTATATTCTGCAATATTTAAATTTTTGGTAAACTCATTCAATGACTCCAAACTCTTCAAGCGGAGATAACATGCACTGCATTGATGCATTCACACAATTTCACAGTCACAATGAGAAAAGCATGAAATAAAAGAATTTGAGTTGTTCTCCAACTATGTTAGCAGTAGCGTTTTGGCATAAAAAAATGCATCATGTTTGTAAGCACGTGTAACGCGGTCAGGTGCGTCTAGTTCTTGGCCGTTAAATAATTTAATTGACCAGAATAATAATGGAATTTGTACATTGAAATGTATTGATGCTCAAGTGCTAAATGTGCCTGGTGTTAATGCCCGTTTACACATGTTTAGGCGAGTCAAGCATTTTTTTCTGCCAAAATGCCGCTGCTCCTGGACATGCTGTTTTTTTCTGCCTCTTTACGCCTCCAAAATCCTCTAAATGCCGGACACATAGGCTAACATGGTGGGGCATTCAGAGGCAGAAAGAAAACAGACACCCCTAACAGCAAATTACAAATGTCTAGTGTACATGAGGTCTTCCACCTATTGGAAAATGTATAATGACAGTATAGATGATTAAATGTATTGTAAAATCCAGCTAGTATAAGTTCCCACATCTGTCTTTAGCTCTTGCCTCTGGGAGGGGAAGGGGTGGGCACCCAGGGCTCTGTTGCTTTGTACAGTGTTGGCTGAATATTTAGACCTCTTCCACACAGGCGTTCCATATGTCCATTTTTTCATCTGTCCATCTATGGATGAAAAACGGACACCCATGTATTTCTATGCACTAGTAGATGTAAATGGATGATCATCCATTTCCATTCATCAATGTCTGTATCTGTTAACATTGTTTTTTGAATGGAAGAAAACCGTATTTTTCTTCCGTAAAAAAAAACTTAACGGATGAACAATGGATGAAAATACGAATGAAAAACTGATGAAAATACGGATGTAAACTGATAAAAAAAAAAGGATGTAAACTGATGGAAAAAAATGGATGTAAACTGATGAAAAACCGGATGTAAACTGATGGAAAAAAATGGATGTAAACTGATGAAAAAATGGATGTAAACTGATCAAAAAAAATGGATGTGATGAAAAAAATGGATGTAAACTGATGAAAAAACGGATGTCAACTGAAGAAACAAAACAAATGTAAATTGATGAAAAAATGGATGTAAACTGATGAAAAAAAAAAACGGATGTAAACTGATGAAAAAAAGGATGTAAACTGATGAAAAAAACAAATGTAAATTGATGAAAAAATGGATGTAAACGGATGAAAAAAAAAAAAAACGGATGTAAACTGATGAAAAAAACAGATGTAAACTGATGAAAAAAAGGATGTAAACTGATGAAAAAAAGGATGTAAACTGATGAAAAAAACAGATGTAAACTGATGAAAAAAACAGATGTAAACTGATGAAATAAAGGCATGTAGACTGATGAAAAAATGGATGTAAACTGATGAAAAAAAACGGATGTAAACTGATGAAAAAATGGATGTAATTGATAAAAAAATATGAATGTAAACTGATGAAAAAAAAAATTAATGTTAACTGATGAAAAAATGGATGTAAATTGATGAAAAAATGGATGTAAACTGATGAAAAAAAGGGATGTAAACTGATGAAAAAATGGATGTAAACTGATGAAAAAAAAAAGTAAACTGATGGAAAAAAAACGGATGTAAACTGATGAAAAATGGATGTAAACTGATGAAAAAAAAGGGATGTAAACTGATGAAAAAAAACGGATGTAAACTGATGAGAAAATGGATGTAAACTGATGAAAAAAAACGGATATAAACTGAATAAATAAAAGGGATGTAAACTGATGAAAAAAAACGGATGTAAACTGATGGAAAAAAAAAGGATGTAAACTGATGAAAAACCGGATGTAAACTGATGAAAAAAATGGATGCAAACTGATGAAAAAATGGATGTAAACCGATGAAAAAAATGGACGTAAACTGATCTGTTTTTTCTTGGAAAAACGGAACGCCCGTATGAAAGCGGCCTAACAGGAGGAAAGAGCAGAAGGATGACCTCATATAAGTGCAGCTGCTCCCTCATTGTGCAGGCAGGGGGTGTGTCCTGGACCAAGCTGCATCACTTAACTGCAGCAGGGCAAAGTGAGGTCTTGGGCTGTGCTATCTGACTGGCTCACAGGGCAGCTCTTGTGCATTTGGAGACTTTCTCTTCCACAACAGCTGGAGTAGCATTTGTTCCACTTAGCTGCATGAAAGGATCTTACCATTCCGGCTGTGTTGTTCATTGTTTTCTTATGTATGTGATAACAATGGCCTCAGAGGTCTCTTACACAACAATGTCCCTTAGAACGAACCATTTCCTGCCGTCTCCTTATCATGCTTCCCTCAGGAAGCCTTGCTCCTGCAGATAGGCGCGCTCCTCAACTTCACAAACGTTCGTCCCATCTGTACCAGAAGTCAGAACAATTGACTGTCCAGCTAAATAAACAGAGCATATAATTCCAATGATATCACCAATCATAAACTATATATACAGGACATGTGTTTAGGGGGCCCCTTTCTCCGCACTGTGCACCCCTACAGGTACAGTGAGGAACAGAAGTATTTGAACAACCTGCGATTTTGCAAGTTCTCCCACTTAGAAATCATGGAGGGGTCTGGATTTCACATTGTAGGTGCATTCCCACTCTGAGAGACAGAATGTAAAAAAAAATTCAGGAAATCACATTGTATGATTTTTAAAGAATTTATTTGTCTCGCACTGCTGAACATAAGTATTTGAACACCTGAGAAACAGCAAGAATTCTGGCTCTCAAAAGTCCACCTCTACTCCACTCATTATTCTAACTTAGTAGTACCTGTCTGAGCTCTTTAAAGACACCTGTCCACCCCACAGTCAGTCACATGCCAACTACTACCATGGGCAAGACCAAAGAGCTGTCAAAAGTCACCATAGACAAAATTGTGGACCACAAGGCTGGAAAGGGCTACGGGGCAATTGCCAAGAAACTTGGTGAAAATAGATCAACTGTTGGAGCAATTGTTAGAAAATGGAAGAGGCTAAACACGACTGTCAGTCTCCCTCGGACTGGGGCTCCATGCAAGATCTCACCTCGTGGGGTATCACTGATGATAAGAAAGGTGAGGAATCAGACCAGAACTACAAGGGAGGAGCTGGTAAATGACATGAAGAGAGCTGGGACCACAGTTTCAAAGGTCACTGTCGGTAGAACACTACGCCGTCATGGTTTCAAATCATGCATTGCACGGAAAGGTTCCCCTGCTCAAGTCATCACATGTCCAGGCCCGTCTGAAGTTTGCCAATGGCCATCTGGATGATCCAGAGGAGGCATGGGAGAAAGTCATGTGGTCAGATGAGACCAAAGTAGAACTTTTTGGTCTAAACTACACTCGTGTTTGGAGGAAAAGAAGGATGAGTTGCATCCCAAGAACACCATCCCTACTGTGAAGCATGGGGGTGGTAACATCATGCTTTGGGGGTGCTTTTCTGCGAAGGAGACAGGACGACTGCACTGTATTAAGGAGAGGATGAATGGGGCCATTTATTGTGAGATTTTAAGCAACAACCTCCTTCCCTCAGTCAGAGCATTGAAGATGGGTCGTGGCTGGGTCTTCCAACATGACAACGACCCGAAGCACACAGCCAGGATAACCAAGGAGTGGCTCTGTAAGAAGCATATCAAGGTTCTGGAGTGGCCTAGCCAGTCTCCAGACCTAAATCCAATAGAACATCTTTGGAGGGAGCTGAAACTCCGTGTTGCTCAGCGACAGCCCCGAAACCTGACAGATCTAGAGGAGATCTGCGTGGAGGAGTGGGCCAAAATCCCTGTTGCAGTGCAAACCTGGTCAAGAACTACAGGAAATGTCTGACCTCTGTAATTGCAGACAAAGGCTTCTGTACCAAATATTAACACTGATTTTCTCAGGTGTTCAAATACTTATGTTCAGCAGTGCAAGACAAAAAAATTCTTTAAAAATCATACAATGTGATTTCCTGAATTTTTTTTTTAATTCTGTCTCTCAGAGTGGGAATGCACCTACAATGTGAATTTCAGACCCCTCCATGATTTCTAAGTGGGAGAACTTGCAAAATCGCAGGGTGTTCAATACTTCTGTTCCTCACTGTATACATTAAAAAAATGAAAGTCGAACGCCAGCCTTCCCTTCAATCTTGCACAGTTGTACCGGCTCCTCTCCTGGACTGACATTGCTTACTCTGATTTCACTGCACACTGTGAGCTTCTCACCATGTGCATTAGAAGTTGTAGAAGGTCACATAGAGCCCGCCTCATTTCCTGGCTATAAAAAAAGTTTCTTGTCATGTGACCTACTGTAACGTAAAGTTAGAAATGCTTCTAAATTTCCCTTACCTCTCAAGCCTGATCCACATTCGGATTGTGCTTCAGAGGCTACTGACAGGTGGTGAGGAAGCAATGCGATGCCTCTTACCTGCCTGTTTTTACCCAATTTTTACTGACCATCTTGCTTTACCGCATGCATTGCACGCAGTTGCGGGACGTTTGCGGCACTTCCTACTTGAATGTGCAGCGTTTGGCAAGCTTGCTGATAGCTACATGTTGGAAGTTTGCATAGTTAAAGCGTGGCACCTTCGGCATGTAAACACCCCCATCAACTCCCTATTTCAGTATGGGGGGGGTGTTGATGGGCAGCAAAAATGCAGCTCAACTGAACATTTTTGCCGCTCCCAAACAAAGCCCTACAGTATTGAAAAAATATGCAGTGCCTTAAAAAAGTATTCATACCCCTTGAAAGTTTCCACATTTTGTCATGTTACAACTAAAAACGTAAATTTATTGTATTGGGATTTTATGTGATGGATGTGCATTTGTATTCAGCCCACCAGAAACTTTTCTTCTAAGATTGCCCTGTATTTGGCTCCATCCATCTTCCCATCCACTCTGACCAGCTTCCCTGTCCCTGCTGAAGAAAAGCATCCCCACAACATGATGCTGCCACCACCATGTTTCACGGTGAGGATGGTGTGTTCAGGGTGATGTGCAGTGTTAGTTTTCCGCCACACATAGCGTTTTGCTTTTAGGCCAAAAAGTTCCATTTTATCTCATCTGACCAGAGCACCTTCTTCCATGTTTGCTGTGTCCCCCACATGGCTTCTCACAGACTGCACACGGGACTTCTTATCGCTTTCTTTCAACAATGGCTTTCTTCTTGCCATTCTTCCATAAAGGCCAGATTTGTGGAGTGCACGACTAATAGATTCTCCCACCTGAGCTGTGGATCTCTGCAGCTCCTCCAGAGTTACCATGGGCCTCTTGGCTGCTTCTCTGATTAATGCTCTCCTTGCCCGACCTGTCAGTTTAGGTGGACAGCCATGTCTTGGTAGGTTTGCAGTTGTGCCATATCTTTCCATTTTCCGATGATGGATTGAACAGTGCTCCGTGAGATATTCAAAGCTTGGGATTTTTTTTTTTATAACCTAACTCTGCTTTAAACTTCTCCACAACTTTATCCCTGACCTGGTGTGTTCCTTGGCCTTCATGATGCTGTTTGTTCACGAATGTTCTCTAACAAACCTGAAGGCTTCACAGAAAAGCTATATTTATACTGAGATTACATTACACACAGGTGGACTCTATTTACTAATTAGGTGACTTCTGAAGGCAATCGGTTCCACTAGATTTTAGTTAGGGGTATCAGAGTAAAGGGGGCTGAATACAAATACACGCCATACTTTTCAGATATTTATTTGTAAACAATTTTGAAAACCATTTATCATTTCCCTACTTCAAAATTATGTGCCACTTTGTGTTGGTCTATCACATAAAATCTCAATAAAATACATTTACGTTTTTGGTTGTAACATGACAAAATGTGGAACATTTCAAGGGGTATGAATACTTTTTCAAGGCAGTGTAGTACTTTTGCACATTCAAACCCTCCTAAGACGTCTGCTCAAAGCTTTAACGGTTGAGAACAAAGGATGGAATTTTGCATATTATTTGGCTTGTCATTGGTAATTCTGATCTGCTCCTAACTCACTGACAGGGGCGGACTGACAACTCATGGGGCCCCCGGGCAATAGGAGATCATGGGGCCCCTGTGTCCTTGCTCAAACTCAAAAAAGCCTATGAAAAAGGTACCAGGGGCATCTCATGGGGCCCCCTACTGACCCTGGGCCCTTGGGCAGTGCCCGAGTTTCCAAAAGGTCAGTCCGCCCCTGCTCACCAATCACCACAAACACTCACATGACTAGTGCTGGCAATCACAACAGTGTCCTAACAGCGATATGGAATCAGTAAAGGCAATCAAACTGGGGCGACCATTTTGGGAGGGGGGGGGGGGTGGAATTTTGCCAAATACAACAAAACAACATCAAATATCAGAAGGAGCCCTTCACATTGTCCCGGAATAGTAACAAGAATGTTCCCAGCATTGATGACGTCACCACGTCGTCTCCTTCTCATCCCGCTAGAAGGATCTGTGAGAATTTCCCAGGAATGAAAAATGACAGAATTCCTCTAAGCTGACTTTGTATGTAAATGGGCGCTGAACATAACTCTGGAATCATCCGGACAACAATATCACTTTCTATGGAAAAAATACTTTTTACGATCATTTTAAAGTATAGAAAAAGTGCAGACTAAACTCTACTGTTACTTATATGCAAATTTAGACTTTTTCAAAAGTCAACAGCTAACCCCTCCTCTCTATCTCTAGCCACTCCCCAAGGCTGATGACATATGCAGA